CCAGGAAAGGCGCAAAGCTACACAGAGAAACCCTGTCTCCAAAAAAAAAAAGTTTAATATATATATAATTTTAAAAAGTAACTAAATCTTTAAAAAAAAAAATGATAGGAGCTATGGTCCATCCATCTTACAGCCCCTCAAATCCACTTATGTTAAAACTTCTCTCCAGTGCTGTACCCTGTGTGGCTGGGCCACAAGGGAGTAAGGAAAGGACAGAGACTTGTAAGGGAAGCTAGGGTCAGGTGGGCAGTGCTGGAGCCACACCAAGTAGGCCACACTTGGCACCTGAGTGCATTTATTAGTACACCACAGAGCTGGTGTCTCTAGGAGGTGGCTGGAGGCTGCAATCTCAGGCTGTAAACATCTGGGATGAGGAAGCTGCAGTTGCTAGTCTTTCCCCCCACCTCCCAGACAGGGTTTCTCTGTGTATCCCTGGCTGTCCTGGAACTCACTTTGTAGCCCAGGCTGGCCTCAACTCACAGAGATCCACCTGCCTCTGCCTCCCTAGTGCTAGGATTAAAGGCGTGCGTCACCACCGCCCGGCACAGTTGCTAGTCTTTACACACACCAGTCACTCGTTTGTAAATACTTGTACTTACACAGTCAACATTAACACACAGGCTGGAGGAAGGCTTCGCCATTGTCAGTAGACTGAGGCATGGTCATACCCATGTCAGCAATATGCATTCAGGACTTCTGCCCACACTGTGGGTCATAAAAGCCCAAAGGACCTTGTAAATGTTCCCAATGTAAATCTAATATCTACTAATAAGTATAACACTGTTAATAAGTAAACTTTTAAGGTTATATTTCTTAATTCTTACAGAATACAAATGGTAAAGAGAGACGATGAACTTGCAGACAATGGCCAGTATAGAGAAGCCATAGCCCAAAATCCAGTCGATATCACAAACAAGACTCCTGAACTTCCTGATTGCCACAGCATCAGTCAGTCGTCCCCGAAGAGGCATGTTATGTTCACCTCTAAGCAGAGAACATGTGACTATCAGAAATATGTAAAGAAATACTGTGAATGTGAAACATGCGGTAAAACCTTTATGTGCTCAAGCTCCCTTAAAAAACATAAAAAGATCCACAATGGAGAGAAACCTTATAAATGTCTGCATTGTGAGAAAGCCTTTCGTTATCGGCACTGCGCCGATAGGCATATGCTAACTCACAATGCAGACAGGCACAAATGCAAGGTGTGTGGAGAAACCTTTCCTAATGCCGATGCCCTTCGGGGACATAAGGTAATTCACTCTGGAGAGATACCTGAATGTAAGGAATGTGGGAGGATGTTCTGGACTGTCAGTTCCCTGGACATGCATAGAAGGCTTTATACAACAGAAAAACTTTATGAATGTAAACACTGCCGGAAAACCTTCAAGAGTTACTGTTTCTTTATATTACACGAGAGGATTCACACTGGGGAGAAACCTTATGAATGTAAGCAGTGTGGGAAAACCTTCAGACATTCCAGCCACGTTCAAGCACATGAGAGAATTCACACCGGAAAGAAACCCTATGAATGTAAAGAGTGTGGGAAGACCTTTAGTTCTGGCCACTGTGCAGGGAGACATTTAGGGACACACGGTGGAGCCTGGCCTTACAATTGGGGGTTTTTTGGGAAGTTTTTTCTTTTTTTTTTTTCCTTTGGAACCCTTGAAAAAAGCCACGCCAAGGAGAAGCTTTATGAATGTATGCAGTGTGGGAAAACCTTTAAATATAGTTCTTCCTTACGGAACCATTTGACCACTCACACTGGAGAGAAGCCGTATGAATGTAAGGAGTGTGGGAAAACCTTCAGTTGTTCCAGTTACATCCAGAATCACATGAGAACACACAACGGACAGCCCTACAAGTGTCAGGAATGTGGTAAGGGGTTCTCGTATTCCAAAAGTCTTAGGAGACACATGCATCTACACAGTCAGTTGGTGATGGGTAGTTTTAAGTTTGAGTTAGAAGAAGTTGAGTGTGAGTAGAAGAACTCCACACATTCCAGCACATGGGGTAAAAATGAGCTTAGGGGTGCAGTCGGGGGGGGGGGAAGTCTGCAACGGTTTCAGTCAGAAGTACGTGCCACGGTTTGTTCGGGGTGTCAAACCCTATGAGTTGACATCCTGTTGGGAAGCATTTCAGCGCTGAGGACTTGAGATGAATACTCACTTGGGAAAGCTTTTTGCCCATCCTTGTTAGCACACATGGGCAGGAAGACACAGTGGAAAGCAAACCTATCTCTGTTAATAGGATGGGAAAGTTCTACCTTGAATTTCAGCAGTGTGGAAAGTCTTCAATAAGCTCCGCCACAGACCCAGACTCTGTAAATGAAGGAATACTTGAACTTTTGCAATGTTAATGTTTTCAAACCCATGACATGAAGTGAGTCCCCAAATCTCATAAACCTAAGAAGTTTAAAACCTGTTGATTGCAGTGCTGTCCAGAAGCCACAATTGCAAAGAAATGTCATAGTGGCCTGTGATCTTTCTCTAGCTCACTGCTAAATGTGTGGATTTCTGATTCTTAGTCATAATTCTGTTGGTATTTTTTGATGTAGTTATACATGGTTTTTTTGTTTGTTTTGGTTTTTGGTTTTTCGAGACAGGGTTTCTCTGTGTAACAGTCCTGGCTGTCCTGGAACTCGCTATGTAGACCAGGCTGGCCTCGAACTCAGAGATCCACCTGGCTCTGCCTCCCGAGTGCTGGGATTAAAGGTGTGCTCCACCACTGCCTGGCTTAGTTATATATGTTTGATCGACATAATTTAAGTGCTTTTGTGATTAAGGGACCAATAAAATCTGACTTTGTAAATTGTCCAGATTTTGTCACAGGCCTATATATTCACATTTGTTTTCTAATAAAAATGTCTTTTTTCCCCAGCACAAAGTTTACTCAATCACTCATACTAAAATAGTACCTCTTTATGCTTTTTACATCTGTTACATTGTGTGTGTGTGTGTGTGGGGGGGGGTGCACATGTGAGTTCAGGTTACTTCAGAGTCCAGAAGAGGGCATTGGATTCCCTTGAGCTAAACTGTAAGAGCCAATTTCTGAGTCCTTTCTTGAGTCCCCATTTATTTCTGGGGAATGTTTTCACTTAGCTGTAATGGTGTCTCAGATGCGCATCACTGATTCCAACACTGCCTCTATGCGGAGCTGTTTGTTCATGGATGTCGCTTTGAAAATTGACTCCCTGGGGGAGCTATTCAGTGGCTTAGTGGCCCTGGACTCAGTTGCCAGGCACTGTAAAGTGTGTAATTGGGTTTCAGTTAAGCTGAAGATGAATTCAGAGTGAGATGAATTTTCTGAAGGGAATCCCGCTGGTGTGGGCATTCCAGAACTAGCCTTGGTGCTTCCATGGCAGTTTGCTGAGAGCTTAACCTGCAGACCATGTGGCTGGCAGTGTGTGGGAGGGGGTGGTCAGTCTGTGGACTCTCCATAGACGGGTGCATGCTGCCAGTGCCCGCACCGGCTTCCAGTTGGTGTGAGTGCCTGATGTGGGAATGTGTGCACCACAGCATGCACGTGGAGCTCAGAGTTGCAGGAGGAGTCAGTCCTCTTACCATGTGGGCCCCAGGGACCTGACTCGGGTCATCAGGCTTGGCCACCAGTGATTTTTACTGGCTGAGCCATCTCACCAGCCCTAGTTTTTTAATGTAGTAGATTTTAGTTGTCCTTTTCTTTGAGAGGGGAGGAGGACTTTTGCTCTGGCTGCCCTGGAACTCGCTTTGTAGACCAGACCCAGATCTGTCCTGCCTCTCCCTCCCTAGTGCTGGGGTGATGAGAGGCTTGTGCCACCACTCCTGGCAACTTTAGTTATCTTAAGAGTTGTAGTTAAACTGCCAGGTATTGTCTTCAGTGAGACTCACCACTGAAAGGGTCATTCGAGCAAAGTCACAATTTTGGTTGTAAGATGATTGTTGGCACACCCGATGCACTATCAGAATTGAATAATGGTATCAGATGAAACAGTGGATGGGAATGAAGCTTGTGTGGCACCCATCATCGTGTAATCAATAAACGATTTAATTCCCTTTTTAAAAAATTGCAGTTGCAAAAAGAAGATCTACCATGATCTTACAGAAAGTTAGACTTTTCCAACTGCCTTCTTCCAAAAGGCACCATCCCATGTGTTGTCAAAGATGGTATAAAAAGATGGAGGGAGGTGGAAAGATGGGATGGTGATTTGTGTGTAGTGTGTGCACACTCACATGTGTGTCAGTGCCAGGGATTCCGGAAGTGGACGTCCAGCCCCCTGCAGCTGGAGTTACCAGCAGTTGTGAGGCATCTGAAAGGGTACTGGGAACTAAACTCGGCAAGAGCACGAAGCTGTCTCTTCAGCCTGGGACGCTGTTCCAACGCTCGTCTCGAGAACCCCTCACCTGCCAGCACTGTCAAGTCATGAAGCTAAACAGGTTCTTAAAACCTAGTACTAGCTTTTTTATAAAAAGATGGATGTGAAGTGATACAACTTTCGTGGGCTGGAGAGTCAGTCGAGTGCTTGCCACGCAAACACAAGGACCTGAGTTCAGCTTTCAGAATTCACATAAAAGGCCAAGTAGGGCCCACAGACCTGCATGCAAGCAAAACACCCACACACATGAAATAGAAATATATTTGTCACCCTGGCTGTCCTGGAACTCACTCTGTAGACCAGGCTGGCCTTGAACTCAGTGATCCATTTATCTCTGCCTCCCAGGGGCTGGGATTATAGGCATGCGCCACCACCACCCGGCTAAAATAAAGGTTTTTAAAGCTGGTATAGTGATACACACTTGTAATCCCAGCACTGAGGAGGTAGGGACAGGAGGACTGGGCCTTGCTGGTTCAGGTTTATAGAATTTCCCATATGACCCAGCAGTACCTCTTCTGAGCACATCCCCGAAGGACTTCATCTCCTACTACAGTGCACATGTGTGTTCACCTGTCACTACGGAGACACGAGCACATCTGTGTTCACTGCTGTCACTA